TATATATATATATATATATATATATATATATATATATATATATATATATATATATATATAAAGTGATAAATTATTCTTCTCTGTTCCTGCTATCTCACTATTTTTTACGATTAATCGACGAAAGATTTAACGTCATTTTATAGCACGTATAGCAACGACGAGACTAATAAATCACATCAATCGCTAGTCAAACGACAAACTTTATTTTACTCTACCAAATCTAAACTCACATTTGTTAATTACTTTCCTATGACTGATGCGTTTAGATGCGTTTAAAGAATGCACGACACGACTCTGCCTGATGAATCCACTCCGCTAGTGTCGAGGATAAAAGTCCGAGATACTGACACGCTGCACGACTAGCTACGTAAAAACTGTTGCTCATGCGCGCAGAAATAAACATAGCAAAATATATTCTCGCAGGAGATATCGTTCAATGTGAATTAGGAAGGGGAAATATTTTGTATTAGCTAATCCAAACTCATGTTTGTTGACTACTTTCCTGCGACGACTGATGCGTCGAACAAAAAATGTGCGACGCTCTTCTGCCTGATATATCCACTACGCTAATGCAGAGAATTCGAAGTACTAACATACAGCACGACTATCGCTCGCGCGTGAAAATCGAGATGGCAAAATATATTCTCATGGAAGCTAAAGGTAACCGTAGTTACATTATCGCCATTGGTTTTACCATCGATGTTGCTAGGTACGTTCTGCCCTCTTTTTCATCGTGCGATTATGAAGATACTTCAAATTATGACTATTATTTAGTCCGCGATAATGCACCCTCGTGAAGTTTCACGGAAAATACAGAGTATACCACAGCGGAAATGTATCATAATAAGTGCCGCAGCGTAGAGTCGTCCTTTTCGAAACTTCTCCCTTTTTTCTTTCGCTTGTCGACCCTCTCATGGAACATGTCGATGGAGGACCGTCACTCTACACGCTCAGTTACACTCTACTCAAGTTGCCCGATCTATCAGGACTTGAAATGGTTCAGACTAAAATGACGATCATGTATCTATTGACGACATTCGTCCAGGTATCACGCATTCTTGCATCAGTCTTTCGACTTGGATGCGAGAAATACTACCGTAGCATGTCATTGTCAACATAATTATTGTTTCCAGTCGACGGTGTTCATCACGCACGAGTGCAGCATGGACGTATTGATTAAGGTGTCCTCTGTCGTTTTCCCGTCTATCTTCATGATATATTTTTACTATTTTTACCGTTTGTACTATCTCAAGTTCGATTAAGTCAGAGTTTCCTCAGCTCGTTCGCTCTAGTGTGAGCAAAGAAGGATCGTTTGTTTGATTGTACAGATGAAGGAAATCGTGTATTACGGCTGGAAGTCCTTTCAGAATAATGCGGAACTCGACATAATGGACGATTACGCGAAACAGCTTACGGAACTTGGCGAAACAGCTTACGGAAGTATTTTTGCGTAAGCATCGATTACGAACTAATTCGGGCGCGCCCGTGCGCACGACACATCCACGCGCATGTTTATTGCTTACGCATGTTTATTATAGAAAGTTAATGCTTAGTTGTAATTTTGTAATTTATTGTAATAATTGCAACTCACGTTTACGTTTATTCAATATTGACTGGTTTGTGCGTACGTTCATTGCTCGTCTCCAATATTGATTACGATTTGTGGTTGCACTGATTAACTACTCGGTTTTAATGTTGCACTCAGTTCTACATTCCCTTTTTCCCTATCGTTAATTAACTTAATGATAGAAAATATGTCACGCGCACTGAGTCTCTCCCTTTCTTTTTTAAATATTATCTTGTTTAATTGCACGAAGACATTAACCGCATTGCAGATAATTTAATTCTATATGGTGTAACTGAATTAATTACGTATGTTATTAGCAACTGAACAAATATATTAAAGCACTGATTTATCCGAATATTTTTTAGTTTTTCTCTGTACTGGCATAATAGCAAACCCATGATATGTCACATAGCACCAATAACTCTCGACATTGTTTCGCCTATAAACATAAAATGCCTGTATATTAATTTCTACATGGACGTGCTTTGAACTGTACATCATCGTGGAGATAAATTTTTATACTTAACAGAGAATATAAAAATTCGAAGTTATCAATGATGTTCTTTGAGCTTAATAACCAATTATTTCCTTTAATTTATAGAGGCAGCTTGACATTGTATACACAACTTCTGCGAATATACAAAAATTATTGCTATTTTTACTGTAAAAGTATGCTATTTTTATTGTTACAAGAACGTTTATTTGGCGATATGTATGATTTTTCATACGTGTTTTGCAACGAATGCAAAAGCAAATGCATCATAAAAAATCATCAACTGTGCGTTTGATACGCCATGTAAATAAAAAAAGAAATCTTTCATATTTCAGTTTTCAAAGTCATCAGTCTCATATTTCACAGTACTTTACGCTATCCGATGAGGACGTAAGCTTTTTCTCCACAACAGAAATATGTACAATCATTTTAAGCAATTTGGCAATATCGTAAAAAGATATCATTCTCTGGAAACTTGGAAGTTGACTGTACGACACATAATATCTGAAATAAAATACAGATTATCACAAAATCAAGAAATCAAATTGAGAACGCGATGTTCAACTCCTTGTTACACATGTATATAAAAAAAGTTAAAAATTTTGTTATCTTATTTGCTATATCTTACTTTACTTACAAATATACATGTTGTTTAAAAAACATCGGGAATATAAAACTTGCTATTCTCGTCTAATATGTTCAAAAGTGGATTACGATCAGCTAAATTAAAATAATCTGCACGGCAGTCAGGTGTACGTTCCGAGTATAACGAAAATGAATGTGACGGTGTGATTGCTACAAGCAAGCTTCTTTACGAACCAAATGATTCAAGTCCCTTCGTCGACTTTGCGTGTTAAAAACGCAAGGGTTACAATGGACGTTAACGGCATTAATTGATATGCCGCACACGACACTCGTTCTCACGCTGTTATACGCTCACGCTATATAATCACTAAGCTAAGGCATTAGTTATCAGCCACACGCACATTTTGGAATGATATTTTTTTCCCGTATATCGTGGGTGACTAATACACCTCAATATATGTTGATGCACTTCGATATAGCTAAACCGAGAAATGTATCGTATGACGCATCGAACAAGACTGATAGCCGTTGTTCATGCGGGGAAGCAAAAGTCGCGAGTGCGCTTGCGCAACAATATTCTTTAGTTTACACAGTAAAAGATAAAACATTACTGTCCATGAGAAATTGAGGCAATTTAGCTGAATTTTCTGCCGCAAGCATATTGTCAGAAAATTATCACCACTTTTGTACGGTACCATCAGTGGACGAGTGTATTGATCGCTTGTAATTCGCGAGAAAATTTTGAGGAAAATAACGAATACTGAGCTACACAGTTGCGTCGCGGTTCTCTTGCGAGATGCATGCGTCCGAGGAACCCTATTACAAGATCAATCGAATCATTCTCAAGATACTAGGCTTATGGCCGTATCAGCAGTCGCGTCTAGTACGAATGCAGAATGTGCTGCTTATCGTTATTCTTACGTCATTTATCATAGTGCAGGTATATAGCACGGTAATCAGCGCGTTAAATACTAAAGCGCTGTTAAATTCGTCGTTATTTTTATTTCACTTTCACTACTTTTCTCTCATTATTTCTTATAAAATAATTTTTATAATCGAGATCTTACACTAACATTGTTCAATTTCTCAAAGTTTTTAAATAATTTTGTCTTTATACTACAATAAACGTTTCGTTATGTACCATGTATTTTTCGTGGAAATCATTTTAAGCGACACGTTCTAAATTATTTCCAGTTGCTGGTGTTGGTTACAACACAGTATAACACGAACATCCTCTTCAGGGTCCTCTCGTTTACCTTACCCAGTATTTTCGTCACGATCAAATACTGCCTCTTTGTCGTTCAGACGAACAGCGTAAGTCTAACAAAACGAATTGTTTATTCGAGCACTTCGAGCATGTATAGAGCAAATCATATTGGTATAATTTCGAATTTTTCGGAGAAAATAAAACGACTGTATATTTATATCATCAAAATTTTACGAAACAAAATGTATGTCCAGTTTTGATCTGTGATCTCCTATTAACCTTTGCATAGATTGTTTAAAATTATGACGATATAAAACTATAATCGTTTTATTTTATCTTATTACACAGCCCAATATATTAACTATTGATCAAGTAAAAAGGATAAATGAAACAAGCAGGTGAAACATTTGTTGGATAAAATTCACGAGGACTGGAACTCCCTGAGAGATAAAATGGAAATTGAGATTATAAAAAAGTACGCTTGCCAAGGGAGGTTTTTCACAATTACGATGATGTGTAAGAGAGTGTTGGTTGCGATAATATTCTATATCAACATGCGTATTCTCCGATCATACAAATTATCCGATGATACAAATTACATTGGAACGTACTTTGGACAATTTTTTAGGAATAATTTACATATAACTCTGAATTCCAACTCCATTTAACATATTTTCCTCAGCGTTTTGTTATTTTGGCATTACTATTTGCGGGATGTTCCAACTTCTACCGATAATTCTGGATATTGTGTCGCCGCTTAACGAATCAAGACCAAATCAACTTGTCGTGAGAACGCAATACTTTGTTAACGAGAAAAAATATTTCTATACCATTTTAACACACGAGATAATAGTCGGCTGCGTAGGAGCAACCGCAATGTGCATCACTATTGCGACACTTGTGATGTACACCCATCACATATGTGCGCTTTTAAAAATAGCCAGGTAATGCTAGTATTAAATGCATTTGCTTCGCGGCTGCTCGTCCCGATTGATGTACGTATATATGAGTAAATTTGCAGTCACCGTATAGAGAACGCGATCAAGAAGAACACGTTGGCGGTTCCTGGGCCTAGAAGAGACTCTCTCTTTTATCAGAGAAAGATCGTGCACGCGGTCATTATTCATCAAAGAGCCATCAAGTCGGTATTTCTACGTTTTTGTAACACTTACAGTTTTGTTACACTTACACTGAGAAAGAGAAGCGTTTGGATTGGCAAAATCGGCGGTCATCCTCAATCAAACAAATATATTTACAAATATTGTGTACATTGAACAAATCATACGCTGGCACAATAATACGTTGCGTTGGCGCAGCTGTTGACTTTTATTCGTCCAAACAAAGCTCGGTGATTCTACTGTTTCTTTTTCTCAGTGCAGTATTTTCTCTCTCGTGTTGAAAATGATCGGCTCTATATATCGAAATCATATCCTTATCGCTTTCCAAAAGCTCTCTCTCTCTCTCCCTTTCTCCCCTCCCCTCTCTCTCTCTCTTTCTCTCCCTCTCGGTACCGACAATTGTGTCTTCCCATTAAATGCAAACCGAATCGTAAATTCGACAAAGTTCGAGAAGGCCAAATGCGGTCAAGAGTCAAGTGCACATTAAATATTTGAAATTTATTTTAAATTTTAAAGCCAAGTTGACAATACTAAATATCTCGGTAAAATATGCAACCCTGGTAAAATATGCAATCGTAGGCATTAAATATGCGGTCAGAATACATTCGCACAATAATTATACACGAGTATAATAATCGCGGCGATGTCAAAGTTTGCGTCGCCAATCGCGAACTACTGATAGACTGTAATTTTTGGAAATCTCTTCCTACGTAATTCACGTTACAAGATGATGTAACAACTGCCCAATTTCTCGTTAAAGATTCATCGAATATCTAATGTCCAAGATTATAACATCGTACACTGTTCTGATCATAGTCGGCGTCAGCTCACTGAGCTTCAGCCTCTTTCAAGTGAGTAACGTCTCCACTCCTCTATTCCGGTTAATCGCGAACTGCACTTTAAGAAGCCGTGCTCTGCGCCGTAGTTCCTTCAATTGGTAACGTTAATGGATAATACCAGTGAGATATTCATATTCGCTATATTAGTAATAACTCACTTGGGCTACATGTTCATCGCTAATTACGGCGGACAAGAAATAACGGAGCACGGAATAGAGCTGTTCAAAACAACGTGAGTGTTCTTTTGGAATTAACTGTGTCAGCACTTTCACGGCACTCTTAGCATCAACACTGATTGCATTCGCACAAAACTCGACAGAGGTTTTGTTTATATTGACTGCACAATGAAGCCCGGAATAGTCATACAGTCAATTAAACGTTAATTACGTTAATAATGTTAATTACGTATAATTGTTTCTAATTTTTCCCCAGTCTACGATTGACTTTATGAGAACAATGTTACAAAAATTGCAGCTACAATGTACCGTGGTACACGTTACCTTTGCGAACGCAGAAATTGCTTTTGTTTATAATGCAAAAAGGAACGAGAAACATCACTTTAACATGCGGCGGTTTATTCGTCGCGTCCCTGGAATGTTTCGCTTCGGTAAAATATAAACTCCTCGCACAAAGAATTGAATTTTAACGCTAATCTAACGGGCAGTGCAACGTCTTTTCAGTTAACGAGTACGGCAGTCTCTTATTTCACGGTGATGTATTCTACTCGGTCCGAATAACGAATCAAGAAAAGAAACTTATCAGCCAAGCTCTGCTCCAAATCTATGCTGTTGCGCGACTCATAATCACTAAACAGTTGTTAGACATAATGTATTAAATAAATAACGTACATTTACTTCTGAGAGATACTTTGTTCATCACATCGATAGACATCGAAAAGCAAACGTATATTTTAGGCAAATATTATGAAAGTACTTGGTTTCCGATTTGAATTATTCTCTTTTCCCTAGAAAACACAATAAAAATTTAGGGAGCAATTGAGCAATCCCGATTGGAAACCTATCCGAATAATTTCACATGTCTAACTACGAAAATATGGCGAAATGTTAAAAACGTGTTGAAGTTAGAACGGCGGATTCGTCATTTCGCGTCCGAGCAATGCAGTGCTCGATGGCTAAGGAAAGACTGATGCGTCGTTCAATACATAACGGAACATTTCTGTTGCTGCGGATGTGAGCGAAAAAAAAGGAAAGCGAAAACACAGAGTAATATTATATCGCAATGAGGCGAGGAGAAAGTTGCATGGCGATTTTGATTGACTTTTTCTTCTCTGAGCCTCTAAAACATCCATCGCATATCTTTCTTCTCTCTTTCTCGAGATTAACTCATGGCGTTCACTCGAAGTGCACATTATGGCAAATATTAATCATTCAATAAGAATACACTGTACCGTTCATAGATAATCTTTCAATGAGGGATAATATTTAATAAGAACATCTTGAGTCTGAAGTCCGTATTAATAATCATTGCTTGAAACTCTCATCTTTCAAAAGAGATAATTAAGTTTCAATTCAGAGTTAGATGAGAATTGTTCAATTGAATCGCGACTATAAGTATAAATTTCAACTGAACTGATCATAATTCAACTGAAAAACTTGAATTTGATTCTGAATAAAAATCCGAGTATATCGTATGAGGCAAGTTTCAAGTAACGACTATTAATACGAGCTTAAGTGCATCCTCGTTGGTTAGTCGCACTTCATCTTCGCGACATGTATCTGGTCGAGGAGCATAGTCGCATTACTACACAATCAATAGGGCTTTTCTCAAAGCATTAGGTATCTGGCATCATGACAGATCGTGTCTTGCATTATTGAAGCGAATACTAATCATCATCTTACTCCTGACGTATCTCGGTATGCAGGCAACAGTACAACCATCTGTAGCAACGTCAGCCACGGATTGATTTTACCCTAAGAACGTGATAGATATTCCTCAAATATTATTCGGATATCTTTCCCTGATTTTGTCAACGGTTTTCCAAAGAATTTATTTACATGAGATGGAAATAATACAATGCGAAATCAGTGTTGAAATTTGGTGCATCAGCGTGACACACTTTTGTTACAATAATGCACGCCGTAATTGCGCGCACCCGTACACAGAAAAAAATACTTGAAAATCTATCTGTGGAATATAAAATTTATTCACACAAATAAACTTTATATTCCACAAGGAAATCTTCAAGTATTTTTTCCTCAGTGTAATTAAATATTCACACGCGTGGAGGGAATGGCACAATCCGAGTCAGAATGTAATACTCTCCTACTACAAAGAACTCTCTGTGTCATCGCTGTACAGTCACCAGTCTTATGAAATTCACTGAAACACGAATAATCCATAATAATATGTGAATAATCACGTTACTCAATACATAGATCTGCCGCGTCAAAGGACTCTTGTGTACATATGTAAAAATTCTCATTGCTTCTACTGATAAAGTGCAACGAAAAAACACATTTACATATTGATTGATGCTGTATTTAATGTTTCGTATGAGAGTAGTACGTTCAAAAAGCTTATCGCCGCTTAAATAATACTAAAGAAGCAAAGTTGACAATGAAAACGATTTTTCCACTGCATTTTCCACTACATGTCTCGACTACAATAAAAATAAATGTGGAAAAAGCATGGTGTATTTGCGCGCTGCGTCCCTTTTCGCGAACGAAACAATCAAAGCAATTCGTCCCTTCGTCGAGAGAGTCTCGCTTTACGTTTGGAAAACGCAAGCGTTACAAAGGGAGCTAATGACATTAATTGATATGCGGCACACGACGTTTGTTCTCACGCTATTACATAATCATGCGGTTTACCGTCAGCAATATTAATCATCAACCGTATTTCGGACGGTACTCTTACCTAACACCTTGTGAGTGCTGATTAATATATTTCGAGTTAACTCAACGTAAAAATGATCAAAATGCTTGAAAACAACAATATTGTGAATACAGATTTAATATTTATAATGTAATTTCTAAGACTGTCTCGCTTTTATTATTATAAGACAACTGCAATTGTCGACCATTGTTGTACTAATGATATATATCTTTTCATTTTCAGGTAAGTACAGAGTTACTGTCGAAGTGGATTGTCGTGTGTCTTCCTGCGGTGAGTAAAGGGTGAATGTGTGAATGAGAATTGCGTGAATAGAGAATAATTTTGAGAAATGCACACAATGTGTGGTAATTTCGCGTTTGTGTCGAGAACAAACATCGATACGACATACGGCTTCGGAGATAAAGACTGTATTCAACTAAATTTAAATAAACGCGAAAGACACCGTTCTGCTCGATCGTGCAAGAGAACAAATACGCTGTTGCCTGCGAACGCTCCGTGTGTCGTCCTTTGTAGTTCGCCGCGAAATGAGAAGTGTAACGTTTGACGCACCGAACAGAACTAAAACGTCATTCGTCGTAGAAAAAATAAAAGTCGCGATTGCGACTGCGTGATAATACTCCTACGCCTGCAGTGTAGGGAGAAACATTGCAGCCAATTACAAATTGAGGCAATTCCACCTAATTGTCTACCGCGAGTATGCCGTTCTTGTCGAAAAAATATAACCACTTTTGTACGCGGTACGTTCTGTCGGGTGGGAATATCGATTGTTGGCAATCATTTATAGCAAATTTGATTGTTGGCAATTTATAGCAAATTTTGCGAAAGAAAGGGGACAAAAAGAGGAAAACAACACGAGATAATGCAGTTGTGTCGTGACTATCTTGCGAGATGCATACCATCGAGATACATTACTACAAGATCAATCAAATTTTGCTCAAGACACTCGGCTTATGGCCTTATCAGCAGTCGTATCTAGTGCGAATACAGAATGCACTGTTTATTTTTATTCTCATTACGTTCATTATAGTGCAGGTATGACAGGTACACAGACAAAACAGTAGGGTTAGCCTACACATAAATCTGGTTGTGCCAACCAGACTTAATAGTAAAATACGGGACAATTAATTATGTAATTGCTGCAGTCGCTGAGCAATTGCTGAGATATTGTGACGACATCTGGTTGTTCTAATTAAAATATATCCATGGTAAATAAATGCCAACTTAATCTATTTTTGTTTGCCACAACCAGATCACGTACAACTACATTGATGCAATTGATGCACTAAAGTAACCAAGTCATATCAACCATACACATTACTATCATACAAAGATAATTAGGATGATGCAACTATGCTGCTCACAACTAAATACTTCTGTTTATGTGCACCTTATATTTTTTCCCGTATAGATTGTAACTGTGATTAAACAGTGACACACATTAAATATAGACGCTAATAAGTGTCATTTTTTATTTCTGTTCCTCTCTTTATTGTTATTTTTCTCATTTCCTGTGATAATAATCCTTATAACAAATAATTTTATACTAACGTTAATTTTTCAGATTTTTCTGTATAATTTTGTTCGATTTTTAAAATATAATAAAATATCACGTTTTACTGTGCACAGGACATGTTTCGTGGTGGCGGAAATAGGAAAACGTCACATAATTATACATCTTAAATGTTATTTCCAGTTGCTGGTATTTGTAACAACACAGTACAATTTAACCTTCTTCTCAGAATATTTGGGTATACTTTTCCTAGTATTCTTTCCACACTAAAGTATTGCCTGTTTGTCATTCAAGCGAAAAGTGTATGTCACACGTAGGCAAGCTATTTATTTATTTTGTTGTATGGCATATAACGTAAATCGTATTTTGTAATAGTTAGTAAAATGAAAGAAAAGAAAATGAAATAAACAGGTGAAACGATTCCTGGACGAAATCGAAGATGACTGGAGCTCGATGAAAAATAAATTAGAAATTGACATTTTAAAAAAGTATGCTTCCGACTTGAGATTTATCACGATACTAGTTATGTGTAAGAGTCACTACTCTTAATACAACCTAATACTATTATTAATCCGTTATTTCCACGCGCTCAATTTACGCGATGCAAATAACGCCCGAATATATTTCGAACAGCTTTTCTGCATAATTTAAATTTTCTACTGCGTTTGATATATTTCTTTTAAAAGTAATAAAATTTCTTTTATACAAAGTATCTGTCAATTTGTTGCGAAACTGCGGTATACAGATAGATTAGATTAGATGAAACAATACATTTATCTACTATTTTGCAAATAACACGTACAGTTTTTTAATTAATATGATTAAATAAGATTGGCGGACCATTGCGTGCAATTTTTCACCAATCTTTTTTAACTAATAATTGAAAGTTTCACATGGTTGTTTGCAAAATGATAGAAGACTTTTATGTTCAGTTTTATTTAATCTACCTACATACCACGGACACTCTGTATATATTCGTGTTGTTATATCATACACATATCATTGTATAGTGTATCTTATAAATTTAAAACATCACTTGACAACTTTTTCCACAGTGTTTTGCTACTTTGGCATATTCATTTACGGGACGCTTCAATTCCTACCGATGATTCTCGATGTAATGGCGCCGTTAAATGAATCACGACCCCGTCAACTTATCGTGATGACGGAATACTTTGTCAACCAGGACAAATATTTCTACATTATTTTCTTGCACGAGTTTATAAGCTGCAGCATAGGAGCGATCACGTTGTGCAGCACCGGTACTACGCTCATGATATACATTTACCATGTGTGTGCGCTTTTCAAGATAGCCAGGTAACGCTAATGTTAAATATGTGATAACTTTCAAATTGACAAGGCCGTTGAATCAAACAATCGCTGCTCCTTAATTACTTATTGTTGTTTTGTTGACACGCACGGTACAATACGATTACCTATACTTATCACATGCGTCTCACGCGTCGTGAGCATATAATAGAAATCGACTGGAAAAAATCGTCGCTTTTTGCTTTTTATCTCTTTTCGTTTTTGCGTTGTCGAAAATTGAGCTGTCATACCTGACATTAAATAAATCTGTATTATTAAGAAACAAATATTTATTCAATTAATATTAATCTTACAAATACGCTTGTTTCGTGGCCGTTCGTCTCGACCGAGGTATACATGATCGGATTTACAGCCATCGGATAGAATACGCATTCGTGAAGAGAGCGCTAGAGACTCGTATTCCTGGAAAAAAGTGTCTACTTTATCGGAGGATCGTGCATGCAGTCGTTATCCATCGGAAAGCCACCAAGTCGGTATTTCCACACTTGTATTCTAAAATCTTTTACAGTATTATATGTTTAAAGTGCATCTCCTCATCGCATATTTAAACGCATGTGAAACGAATTCTTTCGACAGATGCTCCGCTGCTCTGTCTGTTCATTAAACAATGCAATTCGCATATGCGACAAAACTCAAAGTCAAGTGAGTTAGTTAAATATGCATTAAATATGTGCGATGCATTTCAATGACATTCGCGTTGGACAACGTGACCTATCGTCGGACTTGTGAAAAAAATATGAAACCAGCATGCTACCGTCAACATTAAAAATGCGGTCAAAATATGCATTTATTCATTGGTTATATAAAATGTGATGATTAATAGACGCGATATCATTCTGCAGTGTTGCCGAAGTTTACGTTGCCTATCACGAATTATCTTTAATCCACTAAAATTCTCGAGCGTTTTCATGTTATTCACGCTCAAATTAATGCAGCAGATGCAATGTTCAGTTTCTCGTTTAAGGTTTATCGAAAATTTGACGTCTGAATTTGTTCCAATATTCCTTGTTCTTATTTCGGTTGGCGTTTGCTCTCTGAGTTTCAGTTTGTTTCAAGTGAGTAACGTCTCTCCTCTTCTTTAATCACGAATAAAAAACATGTTCTCCGTTGCAGTTTTTCCAATTGATAACGTTAACCGACGATACCGACGAGATGTTTATATTTGCTATACTCATCTTTGCTAACTTGACCTATATGTTTACCATTAGTTACGGTGGCCAGGAAGTAATGGAACACGGAATACAATTTTTCCGAACAACGTGAGTATCTTACTAGTATTTATCGCGCCCCGTTTTACAGCATTTTTAATACGGTAATAATATCTACGCGAGTCTCTGTTTAAACCAATCATACACTGAAAAAGAAATATTTGGTATATTTGAAACTATAATCACACAGAGAAATAATTACTATAAATTATAGCTAAGAAAATCATTTTCTTTGAATTCTACTTATATGCATATCATACTACCATTATTTTACTACAAGAAATTTAGTTGGAATCGAACATAACTATAATTTTAGTTAGCTATGGTTTTCAATCATTTTCTTCTCTCACAAGTAAACTTACTCAAAAGATATATTCCGATTTCTTTCTAATTTGGCACAAATATACAAATAAAAAAGTATTTAAATCATATTTTTTTCATTTTAGCCCACTTTGAGTTTCACGAGCAGTTTATAGCTTTTTAATGTTCTCTCACTCCTGTCGTCAACAAGTACAACAAAAATACATAAGAAATAAAATTGAATACAAGATGTAGTTAAATAATTTTAACAAAATCGGTATAGCTGAGAACCATTTTAAATTTCTTTAGCCGAGATTTCAAACGAAATATTTCAAATCTGTGCTAAATTAGTCAAAAATAGTTCGAATCTCAGCCAAATCAAGAAATTATTTGTACAAATAATTTTTTCACTTTTTTACATGTTTTGTTTAAACATTTTATTATTTATATAGATAATTTCTACATTTGACTTCATATTCATAATCAGTAAACCAAAAACGCATATATCTTGTATTCAATTTTATTTCTAATGCATTTTTGTTGTACTTATTGATGATAAGAGTGAGAATATTAAAAAGCTATAAACTGACCGTGAAACTCAAAATGGATCAAAATGAAAAAATATAACCTAAATATTTTGTGTACTTCTATATTTAAAAAATTAGAAAGAAATCGGAGTGTAACTTTTGAATAGGTTTACTTATCAGTGTACATTATCTAGAGACTTCCAGATATGCAGCCGATTTATCATTAGTTGTATCGTGTAAACGTCTCTAATCTTTACGATCGACTTTACGAGAACAACGGTAAAAACATTACAGCTATAATGTACCGTGGTACGCAGCACCGTTGCAAATACAGAAATTGCTATTGCTTATAATGAGAAAAGGAACGAGAAACGTCACTTTCACCTGCGTTGGTGTATTAGATGCCTCCCTGCAAGGTTTTGCTTCGGTAAAACTCAAACTCCGTTCACAACGAGATAATTGAACTTTAACGCGGGTCTAATGGACAGCATAATGTGTCCTTTCGATGGCGAGCACGGCTGTATCCTACTTCACGGTAATTTACTCTATGCGGTAATAATTAGTAATGAAAAGAAGCTTATTATACCAATTAAGCAAATTTAAACCAAAGTTATGTAGTTCTGCGACACACACATTGAAAATCTGTTGATCATAGTATACTAATATAGTGTATAAAATATAGTGTATTGAAATATAGTGTATTGAAAATAATATATTAAAATGTATATTCACTCCTGACATTTCGATATACATCTCGTGCAGTATTGAGAGAGAGAGAGAGAGAGAGAAAGAGAGAGAGAGAGAATCGCCGCATCATCGAATCGCACTTTACTTCACTAATTTTCATAGAAAATATCGATGTAAACACGTACGAATCGAGAGTTTCATGTGCTTGTTTAACTTTCCTAATGCTACATTTCTAATTTTCTGTCAAGCTAATGTTGCACGACTGATCGTAGCAATCGACGTGATGATCAACGCTACTTTTACTAACGAGATCACGCTATGAAAAGTACAATCATGAGTCGCACCGCGGATTCTCTTACAGTTATATCGAACCATATTGTTCACACCGATGCACTATATTCCAGCACTGCACTGCTGCGTGCTACCGCAAAGTCGAAATATCCGAGAGGAGAGAAGTAGCAGCAAGTACGACAGTTCGACCGATAATGAAAGTCACGTAGGATCGAGGGCCTCCGTCGTTGTTCTACGCTTGCGTAGAACTTTTCGTTTGAACGATTTCAAACCCGTGTATATTTGCTGAGAAAATAACACTGCACGTCGTAACAATTTTCGCAATTGTCTCCACTTACGTAAATAATGCGAGAAGCGACATTATCGCAATTGTCTCGCTCTCACGTTTTATCTCGCGAGAACGACGCGAGGTTCCGGCTATTCTTTTCCTCTTGGTCGCTATTTTTGCGGGAGCTTTACGAAGGAGCTCATAAATGGAAAATTTGCGCGACAATAATCGCGATGCGATCAAAGAAACGGGATGACACGAGGAGGATGAGTGAAGGCTGGGGATCTCGGTATTACGAGACCAATCGTAACCCTCGCGCGAGATGCACGTCATCGAGCAACAGTACAGGTTTAATCGTTGGATCCTCTTGATAAGCGGCATACTGCCGTGCGAGCGATTGATGCTCACGACAGTGCAGAAGTTGTTCATATCCAGCATATTCGCGAGCGCGATTTACTTCCAGGTACGAATTAGCAGATAATTCCAATTTGTGCGATTATCAGATCGGATAGTGTACCGATTGATTATTCGGTTGCGAGTTTCGCGATGCTGCGAGTTTCCGAGCACGTATTGCCGCAAGTAACGTGATGTTGCAGCTGATCGTGTTCATCACGCGTGAATTCAGCGCGTTTCTGTTCATCGATTTTTTGACATACATATTCCCGACCAGCGTGATGGCGATCAAGTACTACTACTTTTACCTTAACACGGAACTCGTAAGTTTTGAACGAAGTTTTTGTAAATCTCGCGGTCTCATAAGACGAATTTTATTCGGGGGTAAGATCGGCTTGGTAGACCGTCGTGCTTAATTTCACCGCATTTATTCGCCCGTAGAGAACTCGATCGATCGTAATTAATTGTTCACCAGTTTGGTTTCGCTGCTGATCGTCGGATTTTAAGTAAAAAGAAAAAGTGAACGCGATGGTTTTCCAAATCGATCTTACGGGGACTGAATGTCGAACGATCATGTCTCATTTTCGAAACTACTTACTCTTTAAAGTGTATCATGTAATTCTGTCTCTTCCTCTCTCAAATATTCGAGAACAGGTGATACGGTTATTGGAAACTATTCGAGCCGATTGGAATTCGTTGAAAGATAAGCGCGAACGCGAGATAATAGAAACATACGCCGAAGAAGTGAAGCTTCTCACTATAGCTTTGATGCGTAAGGAAAGCAGACATTGCACCCCCTATTAATTTATATCAGCAATTTGCCGTACATATGTACGATATGGACTTAATCGCCTATATCAAGGAATAATAAGATCTATTTTTTTATAATATCTATGTTTTATACTCTGTAAAATGCAATCAGTGCATTCTCCACTGAAACGCTACAGCTGAAAGATACTTTCCCTGTGTATTCGTCAAATAAAGTAGGGCAAAATAAGTTCAGGCACAGAAGTAATAATGCAATAAAACCAAATGAAATATTAGTGATCGTTCTTCGTATAAGAGAAAAATTTTTTATTTAATCAATGTAGGAAATTAAATATCGTCAAACGTTTCGGCTTATTCGTGGACCCTCCTCAATAATTAAGGAAAAACGCCATACGAAACGTTTGGCGATATTTAATCTCCTACATTGATTAAATAAAAAAACGTTTTCTCCCACACTGTTTGAAGAACAATCAGTAATATTTCATTTGGTTTTATGGCACTATTACTTCTGTGCCTGAACTCGTATTTTGCCCTACTTTATTTGATGATTATTATTTGATGATTATTATTAAAAGATGATTATTATTTGATGATTATTATTAAAAGTTTTTTTTTAACTATTTTCTCATGTATTCTTATTATCATTTTTATTTAATATTTTTCATCTGTAAAACACGCATATTTAATCATTCTTTTCTACGTCCTAGTATTTTGCTGCGGCATAGTGGTTATATATATCATGTTGCCAACAATATCTTATATGCTTAATATTTACTTGTCGCACAACAATACTTTCGCGTCCTATGTGTACATCCCGTTGGATTACCCCATTGATGTGGAGAAATACTTTTATGTCATATTTATCCACTTCGTCCTGCTGCAAAGCATTGGGTCTATAGGGATTATAGCTATGGCCATGCTCCTATGGTTGTTCCTTAAACATGCCTGTGGTTTATTGAAAATTGCCAGGTAAACGAATCTTTCTTCACTCCTAATCGACATCACGAATAACGTTCGAGTTTTGTAGCTATCGACTCGAACGCGCGATGAACGTAAAGGACATGCAACAGATCTCGCCGTTAGTAAAGGAGAACATTATACGTGTGAAGGTGATGCAAGCCGTAAATATCCAACAGAAAGCGCTAAAGTTTGTATTTCAGCTGATTTAAAGTTCATATTTTGGCTGATTTGTAGTTAAATCTATTCGTTTTGTAATATATATAATAATACGTTGCAATGTAAAATATATAAGTTAAGCGAAAAGTAGCATATAAACATATCGAGTTGAGATTATGTGCTCTTCGTGTTGTTCCTCTCTTTTTTCCACGAAGTAGATCTATCAAGAGTTTGAGAGATTGTTTCGATTTCAAAGGTTCACAGATAATGTCATGTCTAGTTTCGCGCTATTGTATTTTATCCTAATCATAATAGGCGCGGGTTCCGTAAGTGTCCATCTATTTCGAGTAAGTACTTAAATCATATTAAAAATTATCGTGCTTATGTGTGTACCAAGTATCTCGAAACTATAATCGAAGATTATGTCGTAGATCGTGCATACTCTCGAAACGACTTGCGACTGGCGCGAGCTCTTCGTGTTCATAGTGGTACTGATCGGACATTTCTTGTACTTCTTCTTCGCGAATTATATAGCACAAGATGTCACGGATCACTGCAACAATATATTTCTCGCGGCGTGAGTATTAACTCAAATCGAATCCTAAAATTTTGGTGTTTGTTTAGGATCAGAGAAAGAAAAGGACAATGCGTTTATTATTGATATCGCGTTCGGGAATATTCTAAAGGACTCTCGAAGCTTTCCATAGCGAGCTGTGAGAAAGGCTCACACCTTGAATCCGGCTCGAAGAACCACTCTTTATATATGTGACTCTCCTTACCTCGACTTTAATTCGTGGATTTGCGGGAGTGAAGCCACATACTTCACGTACGCAGTTATAGCGCCGTGATTTTTGCTGGCGACAAGAGGAGCCAACTTCTCTTCCAAATTAGGAAATGAACTCGTACGAATAACGAAGACGATATATCTTGAGTTTTAGTCAATTTTCTTTACTTCCTTAATTAACAATAAATGTTAACAAAATCGACGTATATGCTTTCGAAGCACGAGTTAAGCACGCGGAATATAATTCCTGAGAGCGAACGAATTGTAAGATGAAATTGAGAAATTGAGAACGTGCGATAACTTCGACCGAAAAAACTGTTCCTTGTTTGAAAATTATTCGCAGTCTGCCTGGTCTTAGAATTCGCGAGCTATTTAACTGTCTAATAGCCGACGGTGGCGAGACGTTATTGGTCGCTTTGAATTTGAATATCACCTTTGCTAAAATCGGTTGCTAAAACGTATGTTTACATAATCGTGTTTCTGATGTGCCGAATCAACACACGTTAGGTTCGGGAAGCGCGTCGGCCGAGGAGCAAGTCGAGCCGAGATCACGCATTTGCCACGTGATTGATCGGAGCGATCGCAACGGCTTAAGGCCGCTAAATATTTTGGAGGAATCTCACAGCTCGCTATGGAAAGCTTCGAGAGTCCTTCAGAATATTCCCGAACGCGATATCAATAATAAACGCATTGTCCTTTTCTTTCTCTGATCCTAAACTGTGTTAATTCTACAAATTCCGCCTAACTTGAAGGATAAATGAAGAATAATCAATTAAATATATTCAATATATACGCATTTCCAACGCTAATAAAAACGAAAATAATTAAAATATTATAAAAAAAAACAAAACTTTTTTGTTGTTTTATTTACCCATGAATTATATTTGCTTATTAATCTTTATTAAATTATTTAGTATTTTCTTATCTGGTACATATCCTGTCTGAAATCATGCAAATTATATAATAAATACATCACTTCCAGAAATTAAGAATAAAAGTTAAACGTAGGTAGAATATTTTGAGATAATCAAGAGAGAATATTAGATAATTCTAAAGAATTTTCTTAAAAAGACAGATCATAGAGGAAATAGCACGAAATAATATATAATTTGCAGTATCAGAGTAAGACAACAGTCTCTACATGAGCCTCATCCTTCAAATTCAATGAAATTTGTAACGTTAATGTAGAACCAAAATTTCGACTCGGGATATCTTCAAATACCTCAAACTCTATTTTATACAATGTAGTAACTTTTGTATAATTTATGCATTGCTAAACGAATATTACAAAGTAATATTTATCTAATATCGTGTTCATTAAAATTTTCATACAGATACACCTCAATGTGGTATGTAGCCCCGCTTCGAGTTCAAAAATTAATATTGTTCCTACTACAGCACGGCACGAAAAACTACACTATCGTCCTTGGTGGCATTTACATCAGTTCACTCGAAGGTTTTACTACTGTAATTAATTTTAACACAATTTCAATTAATTTTAACGCCATTTTTCACGTACAGACGTAAATGAAGTACCTGCACCTTTCAGATATTGAGTACATCTTTATCGTATTTTATGGTAATTTATTCCACGCAAATAACTGATGAAAAGATACGGAAATAAATATTTCCCCTTACCACATACAGGAATTTATGATTAAAATTGGAATGGCGTCATTATGGTTCACAATTCTAATTATATGGAAATCATAAGGTATTTCGATTTTATATTTAATATTGCCAAAACTAGCTTTTCCAGCCGCAAGTTCGGGCTTTGCGAAATTTTTGACGCGACAAAGGAAATAAATCGAAAAAATATATGGAAGAAGAAAATAAATTGTTCTTTTAAATTTTCAGCACTTTTCAGTAACGACAGTATAAAAAGTGGTCCAGCAAATAAAAAAATTATTTCCATAGTAGAACTGTGTTCTACTATGCTGTTTGTCTGTTTGTTTTGTACAAATAAATGGTGTTATATCGAAACTCATATTTATTACAAAAATCTTTGTGCATACATATACACAACTTCTGTCTGGAATGATTAATAACGATACTCATAATTTCGCAATAAGCGCGCATTGAGTTAGCGCTATTTCAAATGTGAAAAGATCCAAGATGTACAACGTACGACAATTAAAATAATAACGGCGTTTAATTTAAAAGAAGGTACAGTGCGACAATCGCACCAACAAGAAAATATGCAAACGCGTGCTATATCGATGCACAAAATAACACGGCTAGAAAATTAATTTTAATAAGTATTAATTGACGATGATTATAAAACTATTATAAAAGATGTGAATAACAAGGAGCGTAATGGGGGTCCAATTTTCGCACGTACATTAGTTACGTAAGCGAATATCAAATTATACGCCTCATTTGCTCCCCGAAAAAAAATGATTCTTTATCATTCTGAACTTTATCGGCCTGAACAAATTTAAGGGCAGAGGTGTGTAAGAAATATTTTATCGCGCATCGTGTTTTTAAAGCTCAGGGAGGAGTTTCGTTGTTAATACGTTGTTCGACGCTCGAGGAGAAATAATATCGTCGTCCGTGGATCGATACTACGACATTAACCGGAAACTTCCGACGACGTTGGGACTATGGCCCTATCCAGAGATGAAGATTCCAAATTACCTAAGTTACTTTGTGCCTCGGCTTATTCATTTCTTTCGCAAAAATTGAGATATATCGTATTAGATTTGGTTTCCGGGTTTGAGCCGCGTGGATTCATCTTTGTTTGATTCCGACGTTTCGCGAACATTTCAGTCCACTTCATCAGGGAGGAACGATCCGATGCTCGATTCAGATATATCATGTTCATTCTCTCTTGCAATTTTGATTTCACAATTCGACAGTCGAGACTACGAGGCTCGCTATGCACACTTTGGGATGCCGGGAATGCACGCTTTGAAGAAAAAGATGAAACAATCCTATTTCACATGTTTTATCTACGGCCGATACGACGTAGTCAACGAGAGTCCGCGTGAATCGTAATTTTCACGAATAAAATGATTCTGTTGAATAACAATTATAACATATATTATTTGACGTAAATAATTACGCGACGTAGCATTTGTCATTTAGACTGAGAAACACCTTTAAATTTCTAACACGAATTTATCGTTTGCAGTTGATAGCATTTAATGAAACTCGATGTGAATATCGTTATAAAAATTCTTTTGCAGTTTTTGCCCGTTTCAACATATACCTCGAAATACAACTCCTTTTTGTTGGACAAAACGCAAGTTAGTAAACCAATCCTCAGGATCGAACAAAATGTAGTAAACGCAAATACAGCACGCTCCATAACAATGTACTCGATGTCATTGATTTCCAATGCAGCCATACGTATTCACGGATTATTCGAAAGTGTAGATAAAACACATCGTCTCTCTCTCTCTCTCTCTCTCTCTCTCTCTCTCTCTCTCTCTCTCTCTCTCTCTCTC